GGTCGACCTCTGTTAGCCTAAGCCTAAGCCTAAGCCTAAGCCTAAGCCTAAGCCTAAGCCTAAGCCTAAGCCTAAGCCTAAGCCTAAGCCTATCGATATAGCTGATTTCCATGGTCGACCTCTGTTAGCCCAAGCCTAAGCCTAAGCTAAGCCTGGGCCGGGGCCGATTTCCACCCTCTCTACCGTAATTTCCGGCTGCCTACCCGACCTTCATCATGCTTTCGCGCCGTTCCCCCCCTCCCCCCGAACAAATGCAAAGCCAGAAAAATTGTTGTGCAATTTGGGGGTTGGGTGCGCTGGTTGTATTCAGAAAAAGTGGCTCGATTGTGTGCCTATGCATGTGGCCACGCTATTCATTTCCGCGCCTTCCTGACGTCGTCCACCACCACGACACCCCCAGTGTGGGTCAGCGGGGAGAGCCCAATTTTGAGCAGTTATTTGTGGCGCCACCCACTCATTGCATGGAAAAGGTGGCAACGCAGGACCTGGTACTACAAAATGCATCCAGGCGAACGGCTCGAGCTTCTTTTTCCATGAATCATGGAAAAATTTGCATGCGTGATCTCTGTCTCACTGACCGGAAATGCTTGCATGTCGTAATTCATAATGTCGGAAATTCATAATGTAGAAACTTTAGAATGTCGAAATTCATAATCTCGAAACTTCATAATGTTGAAATTTACATAAAAACAGGTTTTTTCCCGGAAAAACCCCACGAATCTTATACAAATAATTTCTACATTCTGAATTTCGACATGGCGATCCAAATCGTTTGGGGACATTCAGGGACCTGACGATGATTCCGCGGTAGCCCCCACAGAAGAGCCGAATTTCCGAATTTACCATTGAACGGCCCCAACCCGACAATTTGCAACGGGCCATCGAGTCGTCGGAGGGCCCGCAACCGAAATTGGCGGCTGCCGTGTCCCGCTGGGGTTCGCGTCTCATTTTTAGCTTCCGGACTTTCGCCGGGTGCTCCGCGAATTCTCGACTTTAATTTCGTGAATGCGCACACCGGCTGCAATCGGCTAAAGTGGGAATGCGATCCAAATTGAGCCCTCGATTTTTTGCAGAGCCATCGCAGTGAGTTGGCAATTGCAGCGTGGCGGGGGTGATAGTTTGTGGAGGGCCCGGGTTACGGTAGCTTTGGCTCATCAGCGCTTCAGGTTAGGCATAGGCTTAGGTTAGACTTAGGCTTAGGCTTAGAGCTAGGCTTAGGCTTAGGCTGAGTACCTCGCCACTACTCATCCCCACTGCTTTCAACAACCGGCACCAGAATAGCATTGCCGAAACTCAAAATAGCAACCACCCCCAATTTCCTGGCCACACTTCCCCCTCAGCCTTCCGGGTGTTTCTTCGTAGTCTTCGACGTTACGTTTGTATATACAGCCTCTTCAACGCTACTGTACTGCCCTCAGAGTGCCTTTCAGGAAATTACCCACGCCTGGAGCGGCAGTAGGAAAGTATAGGAGGCGGGGCCACCACTCTTCGTCGCCAGAATTTATTTACAGAAGGCCCAGATTGTCGGCTGCAAGATTGCCCGGTGGGCGCAAGAATTTTATTCGTTAGTCCTTTACTTGAAGAGGTTCTTTAAGAATTGTCGTTTCGATGTACATACGTAAGTGAGATTTTAGGAAAGGGCGGAGAGCAGAGAGCTAACGCATAATATTCTGGCGCCCACCTTATTTCTTTCGCAATTGGCATGCAGACGGATTTTGATGGATTGACGTCAAATTCGCGAATAAAAATACATAGTAAAGCAATCAAACCCTCCTTGTTTTGCCGCCTTTTCGAGAGCTTTCGATGATCCATAAACCGTCAAAATCGTACACGACTGCGCGCCGCTATAAGGGGGTAATTTTTTGGGGACACCCTGTAGATATTTTGAGTTTCCTATACGTTATTGCTGGCTTCTCGATATCTAAATCATTTGGCAAATACAGCGCTGCATCAAAGATCCCCCGGCAGCAATTTCTTCAGCAGCCCAGCTGGGCGATTTTTAGTCTCTGACTAGGTAGTCGCTCCGGGTTCGGCGATGCGCGCTCAAAATTCTGCGATAACGCCACCTCATTCTCTGACCCTTCACGGTACTGCAAGCGCAAATCATTGGTAGAAAGTCGGCAGAAACCATAACTAGTCTGATAAATAAAACCCTTGGGAAACGGCGTTGCGCCAAATTTCGGAATCCTTCCGGAAAGGCCATTTTCATCACCATGTGGTCCTGCGTAGCTGTTTCATCCAAAATTTTCAAATTTTGCGTGATTCGAAAGAGCATCTTTTTCCCCACAAGATGCGCCAATTGGTTTTTATAGAATATTTTCCCTCCAATTTTTAAAGGAGTCTAAGTTTTACGATTTCGAGCATTGTCTCACTAAAATGCGCTGTAACCTCGTCAAATTGCCGATTAGGCAAATTTGAAAACCAGAGTCGGACTCAGCTCAAAATTCTGCACAAGTTAGGCCTGGACTTGGCTTGGGCTTGGGCTTAGGCTTAGGACTAGGCTTCGCGGTGCCGGTTAAGACCATTCTGAATCCCAGCAACAACCTGATGTGCGGTCGGAAGTGACGGCGTGGGGGCTGATTCGTGTGCCTCGGCTATCTTATTAAGCGGATTGTGCCCGCTGCTATGACTTTCCACCTCCCCCCCCGCGGCTGTAATTTGGCGTGCCGCGTCGGTGGGGGCCCAGCCCGGCGCTATATAAAGGCCCAAGAAAAGGCACATAAGGCAAACCAATAATCGCCCACTTATCCCCCTTCCTTCGGGGTTGGACACTTGGCTGTAAGAAGGGCCCTTTTGAAATTCGCTCCCCCAATTTGGCGCCCCACCCTCGGTTTTTCCGCTGACGCACACGCAGAATCTGGCTACGGTAGCCGAAGTGGGATATATCGGTGCAGCCAAGGCCTGGTGCATGTTGATCTGCATATCGTCGTCGTTCTCGTTTTAGACCTCAGATGTAGAAACGAACGGAGCTAGTGAAGTTGGCTTTTACCGGCTTAAGCTGGCCTGCAAAGCCAAGCTAACCAAGCCAAGCGTAGCATCTGCCTAGCCTAGGCCAAACCGGGGCCCAAGCGGAACCTAAATCTAGGATAAGCCAAAGCCAAGCTTAAACTAACCCTAAGCTAAGTGAAAATCAAGCACCAAAACCAAGGCTAAGCCTAAACCCCACCTAAACCTAAGCCTAAGCCTAGCCTAAGCTAAGCCTATGCAGAGCTTTAGCCTAAACCTAAGCCTAGGTCTAACCTTGAGAACATCGGCTTTGTGTCTTCTACTTCATTACCTGTTTTCCGCTATGTCCATACAATACCATAAGTTTCCATTGTTTCAGGTATACCCGCGGGCTCGGAATTTCAGCGGCACCATGCGTTTCTCACTTCAATCCCTGATTTTCGCCTTGGTCGCCGTGCTTGCCTTGTTCTCCAGCGCAGCTAGTAGCCAGGTGAGCATCATCTTTCTAGGTGTCTGGAATTTGCCAGGTTAGAGTGGAAAAACAAAGCACAATCTCTAGGAATTCAGAATAGAAATAAAATTCTTCAGGAATTCTCACCGAAAGAGCTGCAGCTGCTCCAGATTCTCAGCCGGAACCGGCGGCTGGCATCTGATGCAACCGAGGGGTAAGGGATGAATAGTATCACTCCGGCAAAGCTAAGGCTTAGGAATAGGCTTAGGCTTCAGCTTAGGCTCAGGCTGAGGTTTTAGCTTATGCTTAGGCTTACACTTTGACTTTGCCTTTGTATTAGGCTTTGGATTTCGCTGATTCTTAGGCTTTTTCTATGTTCATTTTTCCTAAAAATCATTTTTCCTAAATTCATTTTTCCTAAATTCATTTTTCCTAAAAATCATTTTTCCTAAAAATCATTTTTCCTAAAAGTCATTTTTCCTAAAAATCATTTTTCCTAAAGTTCATTTTTCCTAAAATTTTTCCTTCAATAGGGATGCGTAAAAATATCAAGAAAGACCCATGTTGTGATTTTTTAGCAGTATTTGTTTGGGTTGGTTATTAGTAGGCCTTTATCGAAAATCTTTCTTATTATCATTGATCCTTTTTCACTTCAAATCACCCAAATCTAGGTTAAACGTGCAACTAAAATGCTTCCTATGACCATTCTAGGCATATCTAAAGCTATTATAAAAAATTTCGATTTTTGGATGCATAATACTAAAGAACCGAGACTTTTTCGATATTTAACCGGTTTTAGGAAAAATGAACTTTAGGAAAAATGATTTTTAGGAAAAATGACTTTTAGGAAAAATGATTTTTAGGAAAAATGATTTTTAGGAAAAATGAATTTAGGAAAAATGAATTTAGGAAAAATGATTTTTAGGAAAAATGACTGTAATTCAGCTTCACCAAAAGCCCCAATCTATAACCACGTAATTCCAGGCGTTGGAAGCGCGGCGATTTGGAACGTTTCCGCACGTCAATGGAGATCCTGAACCGGAACCGCTGCTTCTTTAACCCCATCTCGTGCTGATCTGCCTGATCAACTTCAGCCGCCCCCTCGCCTTCAGTCAGTCCAAATGGTACAAAAAAGCATCAAGATCTCTTCCCCCGTTTCCGCCAAGCCGATGTCCACGTTGTCGTTGTGATTTTGCGCAGTAATAAAGATGAGTTGTGTTTTTTGTTCGCGTTTCTGGTCCCGAAAACAGGAAGTCTATATCCCCGGACGGAAACCCAATAAAACGACAGGGCAGCGGGCAACATTTGCCATTGTTTTCGGGGGGGTGCAACAGCATACAGCTGGGCAAACGTCTGGATAACGACAAAATAATATATTTGCCGGGCACATTCGACTAGCTCTTTAAAGAATCTCTGCTAGCTTGCCCTTTCCTAAAGAATCTCTGCTAGCCTGCCCTTTCCTAAAGAATCTCCGCTAGCTCTTTGTCGAAATGAGCATCGAAACGCTAATCCCCCTCGTCAAAAGGCGACAGAATTTTCGATTCTAAGCAGAGATCGTCCCTAGGGGGAGGCTGAGGTGAATGACAGGGTAATCCACTCGATCATGCCGATGACAGTGCGCAAGTCACGACGGCAAAGCGGACGACTTTCCCTTTTTGCTAAAGAAGTCACGCACGGCTCGCCGACTCGTCCAGCCAGATGAGTACTATTTTTGGGTTTTCTGACAGCATTTCTCAAGCGATAATGAGGAGATTACTACCTTGTTTGTATAATATTTCTCTTTCGCTCTCTCTCGCTCTTTCTCTTTCTCTCTCGCTCCCTCTCAGTCTCTTCATAAAAATATCTTAATTTTAGCGTATGCAGTGGTTATGTGCTACAATCATCATTTTATCCGCCCTTCACCGCTGCCATGGTGCAAACGATGAATTGAGGCGCCATTTTAAAGTCTAAAAATGTCCTAAAATCAAAGGTTCATATTTTGTCAGGTCGACGAGTCCGAGCTGGATACGGTACAGGATCTGCTGCTCAAAATGAAGCGCTTGGCCCACCGGAAGGTGTACGGCAATCGCGAGTTTGGCAGTGATGTGAGTGGGATTTGGGAGGGATTCGCTATGCCTCTTAAAGCCGTGCAAAACATAGTCAATGCGTACAAAATTTGTATTCAAATGTAGTCTGTCGTCGACAACGCAAAACCGATCTCGATCTCGTACAACCAGCCGGACGTCAAGAAGGAGTTGACGCCGTATCTTTTTGAAGGTACGAATACCCTTTTCCTAAGGCCGAAATCTTTCAGGCGACATTTTCCTAAACCAGAAACAGGCGGCCAGCATCCTCCAGGAATTTTCGAGGCTTCCGAGGAAGCGTCGCGGGAAGAGCCGAAAAGCTAGGAGGTCAGGGTCGGCCGGGTCTTTGGCATAATCGGGGGGGGGGACTAATTTTTTTTTTTTTTTTTTTCCTTTTTTTTTTTATTTAAAAATAAAAAAAAATATTTTTTTTTTAATATTTTTTTTATTTTTTTTTTTTAAAAAAAAAAAAAAAAAAAAAAAAAAAAAATTTTTCTTTTTTTTTATAAAAAAAAAATATATTTTTCTTTTTTCACCCTTTTTTTTTTTTCTTTTTTTTTTTCTAAAAATGCATAGTCAATAGAACGTGTTTTAATCGCGTTTTTTGCAATATCTAATTCCAGTTCATCTAGAAAAAAATACCTGAAACCCTTTAAAACCATTTGAAAAACGACGATTTAGATTTGAAAAGTAAGATCCTAATAAAAAAAGTTGATTTTTTGTTCAAATTTATTCATTTCACACGTCGAAACTCGGTCGAATCCTAGTTTTGGCAAAAATGAAATGAACGCCCTAAAATTCAAAAATCTTTGTCCAGTTTCATCGCCGACCCAGAGGCCAGATGGGATCCGACGGAAACGATTCGGTACCGCTTCCACGAAAGTCTAGGTTTGCAACAATTTGAAACGCTGAAAAAAATCCCTAGAATTCTTTGCAATCTCCCAGGTCATCAACGCGATTCAGTACTGGGAATCGCACTCGTGCCTCTCCTTTGAGCAAGTGCCCGGTGATTTGAGCGACGACGAGGACTTTATTGAATTTTTTAAAGGACAAGGGTGGGTAGGACAAACAGGGAAAGAGAGAGAGAGAGAGAGAGTGAGAGAGAGAAAGACACAGACGAGATAGACAGAAAAGTGAGAAAGATAGAGAGAGAGAGGGGGAGAGAGAGAGAGAGAGAGAGAGTGAGAGAGATAGAGAAAAAGAACCACAGTCTGGAGCCCCAATTGAAGCCTAACCTTCCTTCCATTTCCAGCTGCTACTCGATGATTGGCAGGAATGGCGGCCGTCAAGGGGTGTCTATCGGAGACAACTGTGCAAAGGTCCGGTCTCCCGCCCCAAATTTCCAATTGAACACTTTCAGCAAGGAATCGTGGAGCACGAGGTCGGCCATGCGCTCGGCTTGTGGCACGAGCAAAGTCGGCCGGATGCACTGAACTTTATTGAGGTGCTTTTGAGAAGGAATGAACAATTGGGGTGATGATCGTCAACTTTAGGTGGAAAGGGACTTCATCCTCCCCTCGTTCATTGGCGACTTTCAGCAGCGCTTCGACGAGATCGACACACTTGGCGTGCGTATTTATCCAAGGCTTTAGAGTCCAAGCCTTAGCAAAGTCGCAGTCCGGGCCGAAGCCTAAGACTATGCCTAGATCGAAACCTATGGCTAAGTCAAGCTTAAGCCTAAGTCTACGCCCAAGTTTAAGCCTATGCCTAAGCCTAAGCTTATGCCTAAGCCTAAGCCTAACCTAGGCCTAGGCCTATGCCTAAGCAAAGCCTGAGCCTAAGCCTACGCCGGAGCCTAAGCCTACATAAGCCTAAGCCTACCAAGCTCTGCAGGTGCCCTACGATTTGGGCTCGGTGATGCACTATGGCAGCACGGCGTTCTCTACTGATCAGAAGAGCAAGACCATCCTCACTAGGTAATATTTCATCTGTCGGGATTTTGGCCTTTCCCCCTTCCCGACGTCGTTTACCCTTCATTCTTAGAGACCCTCTCTATCAATCGACGATTGGCCAACGGGAAACCCTGTCCTTCTATGACCTGCAGAAAATTAACATTGTGTATTGTGCAGGTGAGGATTCGGGCGAAATTTGTTGCAACGCGACGTTTAGACAAATGCGCCGGTTCGGGCACACAATGCGCTAATGGCGGCTACCCGCATCCCAGGAAATGCTCACAGTAAGTCGCCGGCCCCTTTTTCAATCAATTTTTTTGAAGGTGTATCTGCCCGACTGGGTTTGGTGGACCCAACTGCGAGGAGAATGAGCCCTCACAAAGTGAGTCAAAGCTTCCGCTTGAGTTGTGGTTTAAGCCTGCCTAAACCTAAGCTGAGGCTAAGCCTAAGCCTAAGTCTAAACTAGGCCTAAGACTAAGCCTACTCTAATAATAAGCCTACGCCCAAGCCTCATTGATCTCATAACCGGACCTCCGAACCCTCTAACCGCCTTTAGACGCTGACTGTGGCGGCGTGCTCAACCTCGGCGACGACTGGATGGAGTTCAGCTCACCCGACTTTCCGGATCCCGGGTTTCAGCCCGACCAGAAGTGCGCCTGGGTGATGAAGGTACGGTAAAACAAACTGTCCCGCACCTTGAAACCTCTTGAATGTGATCGGCCGATTTACAGGCTCCCGCGGGACTACGTGTCGAAATGGAGTTCATCGAGGACTTTTCCTTCTTGTGCACCTCGATTTGCAATGACTATGTGGAGCTGAAGCTCGCGGCCGACCATAAGAATACAGGATTCAGGTAGGATTTTCTGGGCGGATTTCAGTATGAGTAGTGAGCCTACGTCTAAGCCTGCGCCAAGCATAAACTTAAACCTAAGCCTAAACTAAGTTTCAACCTAGTGTACCTAAACCTTCTTTCCAGGTTTTGCTGCTCCACAATGCCCACCGGTTCATTTGTATCAGAAAATCACCTCGCGGTCGCCATTTTCCGGTCGCAGATTGCCAGCGACGTTGGCTTCAAGCTACGGGCGCGTGCAAGTATGAAAAAATTTGCAATTCTAAAATTTTATACGTTCAGCTGAGATGCCCGCCAGAACGACACCCGCCCCCATTCAGGCGACCACCGTCGGTAGGCTTGAACTGTTTTGGATGACCCTTTTGCTCCATCTTCAGCACCCCGGATCACGATCGAGGGCACGAACATTTGGGCGGATTGGGGATCGTGGAGTGAGTGCTCGAGAAGCTGTGGTGGATGCGGAATTCGCAGTCGGAAACGGGAATGTCGGACGAAGGAGTGCGAGTAGGTCGAGTGGGCCAGCCATCCTTCCTTGTAAAATCATCACTGCTAAAGGTCGTTACTTCTAAAACCATTACTTCGCAACCGCATACAAATTTTTCTCGCTCGAATGAGCCTCTAACCTAAAATTTTCGAAAACCGGAAAAATTGCTTAGGCTTAGGCTTAGGAAAAGGAGCTGATGGCTTTCCGATCAGAATCTCGAATTACAAAATCTCGAATGACAAAATCTCGAATGACAAAATCTCGAATGATTAGAATCTCGAACGATCAGAATCTCGAACGATTAGAATCTCGAATGAACATAATCTCGAATGATTAGAATCTCGAACGATCAAGAATCTCGAATTTACAAAAGCTCGAATGACAGAATCTCGAATGACAAAATCTCGAACGATCAGAATCTCGAACGAACAAAACTTCGATCCAGCAGAACACAGTTTGGGATGAAAATTTCCACTAACGGCCTAGTAATTGAACCCAAAGTTTTTCTATGGAGGTTTTGGCAATCAATAGCTGTAGCAACACTATCTAAAAGTTAAAGACTTCAAGAATTTGAGCCCTTTGCATCGAAAAAAACAAATTTTTCGACTTACCGCTAATCTTCTTCATAATCATTTGTAAAGTATGATGCTCAAAAAGGACCATGCCTCCGCAGGGCATACTCACAGCCTACTAGCTTCTATCTAATACAAAAAATCGATGCTGGATCGAGCCAGACGGAACTAGATTAGTGTACAGTGGGAATCCTGGCATTCGAGATTTGTTCATTCGAGATTTTGACCATTCGAGATTTTGTCATTCGAGATTCTGTCATTCGAGCTTTTGTAAATTCGAGATTCTGATCGTTCGAGATCCTAATCATTCGAGATTCTGTTCATTCGAGATTCTAATCGTTCGAGATTCTGTTCATTCGAGATTCTAATCATTCGAGATTTTGTCATTCGAGATTCTGTCATTCGAGATTTTGTAATTCGAGATTGTGTCAAACTACCGAGCTGATGATCAGCATGGTCAATTCTATCTGTCTACAAATCGTCAGCCAGCTCTGAGTCCGGATTTTGTTCGGACTCCCTTAGTCAGCGACGATGCTCGAAGATGATCTCAAATTTCAGCGGGAAGCGTCAAGAATTTGCGTCGTGCAACCTAGTCGCATGTCCGGTCGACAAGAATTGCGCCCGGCTGCTTTCCAATCAGAAGGTGTGCGCCGGCGGCGTCTGCAACAAGTGGGTTTCGCTAGACATGGTTGAGTATTGTGTGTTAGGTTTATGGTATTCCCTTCCGACATTGATGTTGACCCCACAGACTCATTTCAGGCTGGGTGACGTGCTGTCGCGATGCCTGGAGCCGCAGTGCTGCCCTCCATTCTACAACAACAACGGCGTATGCGTGAACGACGCGCCGACGTCCGGGTTGACGCGCAGGAGTTGAGCACTGGCCGAACACGAGGGATTGCCAGAAGTGATGAATGTTACGGGTTCCCATCCATGGCCCCGCGTGTCGCGTTGCGGGTGCGGTGCATTGATTTACTAGGTTCAACGTGTGCTAATTTATGCAAATTATGGAAAATTAGTTGTAAACGAATAAGATTTGGCAAAATCCCGACAGGCCAAAATTTCGACAGCGACATGTGGTATATCCGGTTGTTTTACCGATAAATGATTTTAAAATCTAGGCTTTCTGGCTGTCGGCATTTTGACTATCGGCATTTTGGTTGTCCGTATGTTGAATGTCGGGATTTTGGCATTTTCCCAATTTGGCCTTGTGCTTATGAAAGTATTGATTTATCGTTAAAAATTTGTGGCATAAATATCGATAAAACTATACAGAATTGCCATCCTGCAAACGGGGGCGGCACAAAATTTTTGTTCAAGGTTGAGGGGAGGGTATTTTGTAAGCTCGTGCGCACGCACCTAATCTCAGCCGTTGACAGGCATTGCTGCGTAGCCTTTTGCACCGCAAAATGACAATAAATGTTTGAAAAGCAGAGAAAAAGCGAAGTGAATCTCGCACATCCGTAACAATGGGGAGGGGCAAAGAAGCGGAAAATACAGCGTAGATCCGAAGGTTAAGCTTGGGCTTAGGCTTATGCTTTGGCTTAGGCTTATGCTTTGGCTTAGCCTTATGCTTAGGCTTAAGCTTCGGCTTAGGGCTTCGGCCTAGTTTAAGCTTAGGCTTAGGCAAGGACAGGTATCAGGAGCTTATATTAACAAAAAACGGAGCTGGGCAAGTCGGCTTTCAGAAATTCTAATCGATGCGCTAATAAGGGTAGGCATTTGCGAGTCAAATCCATAATTTCTACAAACACTTTCGTACCCTGCACTCGAAAATTGTACTGGCAGTGAGAGGAGGAGGAGAAAATTACGGGGCGAGGGACAAATTGAGGAAAGGAAAAACAAATCACAATCGATGACTACAATTTTAGGGGGGAGGTCACGGAGCTGCGTGAATTTGAATTTTTCTGACGCTAATTAGACAGCGTGGGGCTACGTAGATTTTTTGTTGTGACCAGAATTTCAGCAAAAAATGGTAGTGTGACAAAGGAGCAATAAAGGCGTTGCTGCAGAATTGGTGCTGTAGAACTAAAGACCGGAAAAATGTCAACTCTTCCGTGCTCCTTTAAAAAAATATAACTAGGCAAAAAAATCATCTGGAGAACGTGGGCAATTTGTCGAACGAATATCCGGGCCGGCCGCATATCGTGCATGTGATGTAGAAGACGTGGTAGAAGCCGGGGATGAAGCAGAGCAGCCCCGCAAAGAACAGCACCCAGATTTGGACTCCGGCTAAAAGACGGGATTGATTGACAAGGCTTAGCTTAGGTAGGCTTAGGCTTAGCTTAGTTTTAGGCTTCGGCTTCAGTTTAGGCTTAGGCTTAGGGGTACCCGTCGGTTTTTACTGAAGCTCAACACTCACCATGATCATCGGTGATTTCGAAATAGACGAGAATACCGTAGAAGAGTAGTGCTAAACTTTGAGGTAGAAACGCTAATGTCTTTTCAAGCTTACCAGCACCCATTATCGTCAAGATGAAGGAGCCGATGACGACCTGCCAGTTGGATCGTAGCCTCGGATCACGGCAGCCACCTCTGAAAATGGGATTGGTAGGCTTTGGCATAGCTCCTGCTTAGGCTTAGGTTAAGGTTTAGGCTTAGGCTTGGCTTGGGTGTAGGCAGAGGCTTAGGCTGAGTAGGCGTGGCTTGTGCTTTTCCTCACCCCAAGTCGGGTGAAAATACACGACATTTTCTTCCCGTGGCTTACTTGATCCGATTCTCGTGCGGTCTGCTGACGGGCGGGTCTGGCTGGGATGTAGGAAAAACGCCACCACTCGAAACTTCCGGTGGCGCATGCGTCCGGGGTTGTTGCCTGAAATTTTAGCATAATTTGAGGTGCGCAAAGGTCTAAGGGTTGCCTGGGGCCGCGACAACACAACAAAACTCACCTTTCAACGTCTTCCTCCTCTTCGCCGCTCTCGTGTCGATCGACGATCAGCTGAAATCTAATATTCAGAACCACAATAAAGATTCGGCCACGCATCAACGTTAGGAGATGTCGAAGTTAAGCTGTACTTAGGAAGGTTTCGGAAACAACTTACATGTTGACCCTGCGATGCATTGCGCTGATGCCCTGGCATCGTGCTCACAACCATAGAGGCCACCCCGACGAGGTGGCTCGACGCTTCGGGAGGGAATTCTGAAAACATACCGTTAAAAGGGGAGCGTGACTCCCAGGAGCGATTCTTAAGGAGGGGATGGGCTAGCAAAATTCTTAAGGAATGGATAAACAAGTAGAGATCCTTTGGGAAAAGGTGAGTTAGCGGGGGTAACGGCAGCCGCCTTCAATAATAATTTAATGCCGTCAATTTACATAGCTTAAAAATTTATGTAACAGTGCCAGGAACAGTGTGGTATGTCTGGTGTCAGGGTGGTCAGTGTCCGTGGCTGGCCGAGAGAGTGCGCACACATATGGTCGTCTGGCAACGGCTCAAAAACCGCGACGCACACGCCTTGCACTGGTCACTACGGCCCCCGGGACCGCTTTTAGCAAGCAACTATGTAGAACAACCCGGGCGAGAACCTCAAAAACCTTAACTAGGGTTTGAAGAGGCCGGAAAGCGCGATAATGTTCTGTTTCAGATTGCTCATGGTTGTTGATTTTGTTTCAGATGGCAGGCTTGACGTTCCTTGAAGTCTTGAAGTTCCGGACATTTTGAAGAAACCTTCAAGTAAAGAACATGGAAATGCACGGCTGCAGTTCGCTTCGAAATAAAGCTGATGCTTAGGCTTAGGCATAAGCTGTGAGGCTTCGTCTTAGGCTTTTCGGCTTCGGCTTGGGTTTACGTTTGAGCAATTAAACATTTCTTCATAACTTTATATTTTAATTTTTTTTTTTGCAAAATCGTTGTAGAGACAGACGCTTATATGCATTTTCTCCTTCTCACCCATCCGGCCATTCTCCCAAAATAATTGTTCGACACGTTTCTGGCCACCATAATTTGATCGATAATTGGGGTGTTGGCGTGGTGCCAGAAAGGGTGTCCCCGATTGTGTCTGTTCTCCCCTCTCCGGGGTACACGTTCCTGACTGCACACTTCCGGGCCGTGCAGAGGAGCGTCGTGTACTCCCCGCATCTGCCCCCCGGCTATATCCTTCATCTTCGACGGTTTCGGCGGTCTGACTAGCAAAAAGTTTTGCGTTTTATATATTTTTGTATAGCGTTTTTCAAGCTTTGCTCTGAGCTTTTCCGATACCCGGTATTTGGACGGTAATGCGTCATCAAGTCGAGCGATATCTCTTCCTCAATATTTTTCTAGTCTATTCAGCTGCCATAATTTACATCTGGTAATATCCTGCTTGCTAATTTTTTACTTAGTTTAAGCCTAAGACTAACTAGGTAACTTGTAAGCCCAAACGCAAGCCTAAACACCAGCCTTTTCTTCGAAGGTAGAATAGCCCAATTAACTTTCCGCCCAATTCTCTTCCTGAGAGGAACCCGTTCAAAACGCGCCCGGAATCCAGTCCCGAATCCGGAAATTCCCCGGAACGTTGACGACTCAAAATGTCACCAGCGTCCGCTCATTTTTCAATCATTCACTTAGCCAACTGACCCTCGTGTCTCCCACTCGACAGCGGCTTTCCGCTTTTCCCCAGTCGCCCCGGCAAATCGTAAACTCACACATGCAACGCTAATTTTGAGGATTCGGATTAATAAACCCAAACTTAATTTGAACCAATTTAAATAAGTGCATGTATTACTGAGATAAAAGCTCTCTCTGTCTCTCTTTCTCTCTCACCCTCTCTCTCACTCACTCGCTATCCAAAGCTGTCATATACTATAGCTTGTTCCGCTCGCCATCCCCGGACCGATTTCCATCCATGATGATGTGATATTCACCTAAAAATGCAAAGCCTAAGCCTAAGCCTCAGCCCAAGCCTAAGCCTTAACCTCAGCCTAAGGTTAAGCCTAAGCCTAAGCCTAAGCCTAAGCCTAAGCCTACGGCCAAGCCTAAGGCGAAGCCTATGCCTAAGCATAAGCTTAAGCCTAAGCCTAAGCCACAGTCTAAGCCCAAGCCTAAACCTAACCCTAAGCCCTACCGAACCTAATCCCAAGCGTCAGCTTTATTTTTGACTTTCGCCTAGCGGTTGAAGCCGATGCCGTGTCGGTTTGTCGGCGTCCATCTGTCGGTCTTTCCGTCCGTTCCCTTCCCTCCATCCCCCATCACCCTGATGCTTTGTGAGCGCGCTGTGGGTCTGCAGCTGGCCGTCCGCGCGCCCGTCTTTATGAGTGCCCTCGCCCCTATCCGCCACCACCGGCCACCATCCACCCCTCCAACCAACCCCGACATCGATCCCGATTTTTCACGCTTCTCTGCGGCTTCACGCTTGCTTATTAATTACACCATGCCGAGAGCGACGGCTCGTACTTGCGGAATTTGCATAAATAGCTTTCCTAGATTTTCCTCCCTGAACAATCTCTGCTAGTCTGCCCCTCCAAAAATGTCTGGGTTCGGATTTCCCAAAATATACATTCCCTTTAGTTCCCATACTTCCTCCTGTTATTTTCATCTCTACCTCGGAATTGATATGCGTAGGCTTAGGATCGGCGCAAGCTAAGCCTAAGCCTAAGCCTAAGCCTAAGCTTAATCCTAAGCCCAAGCCACTAACTGCTCCTCCTTAGAAGAGGTTTTAAAACGCTGCATCCTGACTCACTGGGTTTTTCTCACATGGCGATGGGCAACAAAATGGGTTTATCTACCCGAGCGGGTTGTGGACGACACCTCTGGCCGAGGTATGCCCACCCTCGCAAAAGCCAATCCATTTGACTGTCGCTCGACGACCTCGATCCTATCAGCACCTCCCCTCAATTTTGGGGACTTTGAAATCGGCAGGTACCGATTTAAAAAACTCCCACCAGCCATTGCAATTTTTTTACAATACTTTCGCAATTTTTTCGAGGGTTTGAGATCTCGAGGAGGAGGAGTATGCAAAGTAAATTCTTAACCAAACATCTTCGCCAAACAAATCCCTCCCTCGCTAAACCCCCAACCCCCCGCTAACAGTCCAGAACCGCTAGGATTAGGCTTGAGCTTGGGCCTGGGCTTAGGCTTAAGCTTAGTCTTTGCTTCTACTTAGGCTTAGGCTTAGTCCAAGGCTCTTAGTTTTTACTTTAGGCTTAGGCTTGGCTGAAGTAAAGTACCCCAGCCCTAATTGTGAGTGGCCATTGGGGGATGGTGGTGTTGAAGTGTAGGGTGGGAACCAGTCCACGATGGTCCGCTAGGGACGATATCGAGGCGTTGATTTGATGAGAGAATCGATGCCCCTCCCATCCCCCCTCCACATTCAGCCTTTCATTCAAATTTCTGACAGCCGATTATGGCCGGGTCCCTCCCCTTCGGAATCTGCTGCAGCGCATGCAAAACACCATCGACACGCAGCACCACACAAAAAGCATGCCCCTCCCACCTGGCTTCTCCCCAGGCGGCGGCTTTTGCCCACATGGCTGAACAATCGGTTTCTGGTTTTCGCAACATGTAGTTTCTCGATTGTATTGGAATTTCTGTTTGAATGAAAAAAGAATGTAATATTCAAAAGTTATCGCGAAAAACTTTTGAAAATTTCCGGCTGCATGGGAAGCAAACCTTTTTTAAATCGGACCGAAGCGCTCGTAACCTTGTTTTTTTTGATTCTTCCAAAAGTTTCGCCTTTTGCGACCAAGAAATGATACCTTTTCCAGCGTTTTCACCTCAAGAGCCGCAGCGGGCTCAAAAGCAGCGGAGGGCCACATAAGTTAGCACCTCTTCGCGCACATTTCTAAATGCGGAGAGGCGGCAGGACGAAGCGGCATGAATAGAGAGGTGGGTGGTCGAAAAACCTTCAATTTTCCTGTATGCAATCTAACCATTACGGGTTTATTTTAAAATGCCGAAATTCAGAATGTTGAAATTCAGACTGCCGAAATTTACATAACTTAATTTTTTCGGAAAATACCCCGAGTCTCGTGCAAAAAATGTCGACATTCTGAATTCGACATTAAGATTTTTGACATTAGCATAGCAAATGAGGGCAGACTTGCAGAGATTCTTTAGGAAACGGCAGATTAGCAGAAATTCCTTAGGCAACGGATGACTAGCTGTTTAGCTTTCACGCCTCGGTGATGGCTAATTCCCCGATTTCACGTACCGTTTAAAATTTTCCCTGCCTGGTTTTGGGCAATCCTGATCGTCTTTGGGATGGGATGGCCCATCTGTAAACAGTGTTGGGGTGTCCATCCGGCTGCCCGTGATGGACAGAGGGACAAACAGACAGAAAGACAGACGGCCGATCCCACTTGGCGCATATGCCGCTTGATGAGGGCCCTGTGGGGAGGACCCTTCACTACTCCTCAATGATCCCGGCGAGCGGGGAGGTGTGAGCCCATTAAAGGGATGTGGAAGCCAAATTCATGCATTAGGCGTAGCATGAAAGTGTTTGCTAAGCTCTCGACGGCTAAGCCTATGCCTAAGTAGAAAATTACCTTAGAGGCAGCCGTAAGCACACAAAAAAGCTAAAAATTTTTGTTAGCCTATCGATATGGCCGATTTCCATGGTCGACCTCTGTTAGCCTAAGCCTAAGCCTAAGCCTAAGCCTAAGCCTAAGCCTAAGCCTAAGCCTAAGCCTAAGCCTAAGCCTAAGCCTAAGCCTAAGCCTAAGCCTAAGCCTAAGCCTAAGCCTAAGCCTAAGACTAAGCTGGAGCCTAAGTCTTCTAAACTTCTTTTTCAGCCGTCCGTACGCGCTGAGGACATTCAACAAGTGCTGCGGGATGAGGTGGCTCTGTTGCCAGGATGCCGCGATCGACAGGTCAGCTACCTGAAGCTTCAGTCTGAGCCTGACTCCGCTTTTAACACTGCAATCGAATTTCAGGGCCATCCACTGATTGTCTTCCCATCGCGGGACGTCACGGTCAACCCCGACCATGTCCGAAGTGTTCTTCTCTATTTGTGCGAAGTCTGCGCGTAGGTTTTCACCTGTAAACGCGTAACAAAAGCATAGGGAAGAGGCGAAGGGGCGTGGTTTCATCATCGTCATCGACATGAGGGGCAAGCAGACGTGGACCAACGTGAGGCCGATGCTCAAGGCGATTAATGTGAGCTTTTTTGAAGTCTTAGAGTCTATGGAGTAAGGTTAACCTTAGGTTCAGGCTCCGGCTTACTCTAGCCCATCCAATGAATCATAATTTCAGTCGCTGATCGATGAGGGCGGGGCGCTGGCCGGCGTGTTCCTCATCAACCCCGACAAGCTGGGCGAGAAGCTCAAGACCCAGATTTCGGCCGGCTTCTGCAAGTTTGAGGTGCAAAAAGTGGGAGTCGACACGCTGCCCAAATACTTTGAGGGCACCCAGTTGATACGGTAGTTTCATTGGCGAGTACGGTATTTACAATCGATAGTTTAGGGAATTTGGTGGTTCATTTCCCTATGACCATGCCGAGTGGTTGGATACGAGATTGGTGCGTTTTTGAGTTAGCACGGGATCCGCATTTAAAATTAGAAAAGTTGCTATTATCAATTTCTGCATTTTTATTTTAATTATTTAGGAATTGGAGAGGTGGATAGCCAACATTATCGATGAGATGCGGAAGCTGGAAGCCCAAAGAAAGGTGAGGGACAGGAATTGCTTGCTTTTTGCCCTTTTTAGCGGGTGGGGGGAACTAAATTTTTTCCTATGATTCTCGACGGCTCTATAACAAAAGACAAGCCATTTTGTTAGATTGGTTAGTTTTTAGCATTGTACATAGTTTTTGGATATAAAAACGATTTCAAAAAATAACGAAAAATTTGCAAAGAAAGGCTTTTTGGCCCAAAAATATACGAAAATGACCAAAAAAAAGTAAAAATTCTCGAATTTTCAAAGTTAAAAAAATACTTTTTACAACTTTTAGCCATCAAAAACTCCTAAAAACACTGTCGTGTAGTGAAATACATTGTATATCATCAACAGCTAGGTTAGATGGAAAAACAGAATTTCACCCTGCTAAAAATCCGCCTCCCCGCTAACAGTCCAGAACCGGGAATTTCTTAAGGGAAAATCTGGCCGGCTTGATCCATTTAAAACCGATGCGAACCCTTCAAATCCCGTTTTCCAGCAAATCACCGACGCTGAGTCTCCAGTCGATGTGCCGACCGCACAAGCGGCCATCGAACGTCATGGTGCCATCAAGAAGGGCATTCTCGCCGTCCCCATCGAGGCCATACAACAAAAAGCGCAACGAGTACAAGACCGTATTCTTCGCCCCGGCCGGCCAGCCAATCCCGACCTCGAGGCCGCGCTGCCGAACCTCACCAACCTCGTCCACTCGCTGCAACAGCTCAAGGCTGACGTCTACAAGATGTGGGAAAATCGACGAATCGAGCTGGAGACGCTCGTCCAGTTGAAGCTGTTCGAACGGGATGCCGATCAGATTCTGAGCTGGATACGCGAGGAAAGCCAGGCATTGATGAGGAAGATGGGAGATGTCGGCACGAATGAGAGCGAGGCGAGGGAGAGATGGAAACGGTGGGTTTTTGAGGGGGATTGTGTTCTCTATCTCTATCTCACTCTCTCTCGCTTTTTCTCGCTTTTTCACTTTCCTTCTCTCCCTCTCTCTCTCTCGCTCTCTCTCTCTCCCGCTAACTTCAGCCTCTCACATTCCTTTTCAGCTTTGAGGAACATGCCAAAAGCATCGAAACCCGTGACGATGTCCGTAAGAATATCGGTGCCCTGGCGGCCCGCGTCTGCTCAACCATCGTCCCCACCATGAAGAACAGGGTCGAGGCAACGGCGCAAAAGATTGCCGACGAGTGGAAGCTCCTCCTCCAACTTCATGCAAATCGAAAGATCCTTATCCAATTCTCCATCGACTTCTACCAGGCCACCCAGGCGTACCTTCTCGAATTGCCGAATTGGCTGGGCAACCCGGGCGTCGATCCGGACACCATCGACGCCCGGTCCAGTGAACGGCTCGATGAGGCTATTGAGGTTGGAGTTAGGACTCGAATTAACGTCCCTTGCAGGTGCATCGACGGTTCTGGGGACGTGTGGAGGAGATCTACGTCGTCGCCGTCAACCAGGCGTCGATGCTGACGCAGGCGCAAAAAAGTGCCCAGCTCCCGGACCGAGAACTGGCTGCCGGTATCCCGAAGACGCAGATGACCACGGTGCAGAGGGAGCATAAGAAGCTGCACGAGGTGTGGAAGGATCGTGAGGTGAGTGCGATGTTTTCAGGCTGAGGGAGAGAAAAGAAAGAGAGAGAGAGAGAGAGAGAGAGAGAGAGAGAGAGAGAGCGAGAGCGAGAGCGAGAGAGAGATGGAGAGATGGTGAGAGAAGGGAGAGAGAGAGAGAGAGAGAGAGAGAGAGAGAGAGGGAGAGCGAGATAGAGAGAAATTTCCTGATTTCCTCTTTACCATCAATTCATTAGTGTGTCATATGCAAATGTCCGCCTGATACTCCCTTATCGATCCCCAACAGCTGGCCCCTCTGGAGAGGCAGATGTTTGATAACTCCCACGCCCTCGAATTTCAAAAACCTTCAAACCTCAAACTCTTCAGATCCGTCTCACAGCCATGCTTGCCGTCCTCGTCTTTCAGGCCGACTACCAGTCGATCGTCCGCTGGCTCGAGCAGTACGGCGAGCCCTTTCTTGCTCGTAACGTTTCAATCGGTAGGTCACGGTTTGTTTGTAAAATTTGGGTTCCTTCAAAATGTCAAAAATCATAATGTCGAAATTTACATGAGCTGACGGTCTCTGAAAATCCATTTTATCCCATGCAAAAAATTCGTTGTTCTGAATTTTGATACTGTGAAATTTCGACATGTGAAAGCTAAACAACTATTTGCAGTACGTACGTACGAAGTAGCACGATAACATATGCAAATTCAACGCATCATTTCAGGGGATAGCCGCGACGCAGCCGTGGTGCTCTACGACCACTTCAAGCAGTTCCAGGCGGCCGCCCAGAACCAGTACGCCAACGCCGAGAAGCTGGCGGCAACGAGCGAGGAAATTGTGCACCGGATAGGTCGGTATCCTCGGCGTTATATTTTTTTTATTCAAATCTCAAATTAAATCCGATTAAGCTATGATGATCAAGTACTACATAATAACAAATAAATGCTGTTCAGGAGGGAGCGATGCGCAGCAAACGCACACCCTCGCCTCCGAATTGGCCCGGAAAATTGATCGATTTAAGGGACGGGCTCAGGAACGATCGAAATTGTTGATGAACTCGGTATGTTGTAATTAATACCGTCGCGGAGTTACCTGAAAGTCACCTTAAAAACCGCTATAAACTTTTTAGGTGCTGTTCCACACCCACTACGAAGAGCTGACCAGCTGGTACAGCGAGGTGAACCTGAAATTCCAAGGCTTGCGCTTCGACGCCGACGTCGAGGAGTGCGAGCGGCAGAAGCAGCAGTGCGTCAAGGAGAATGAGAGTACCACCGAGGTCAGTAAATATAGTCGTGGCCGCGCGGCGAGACCTAAAATTCAGGTCGGGTTGGCAAACCTAAGCCTAAGCCTGAGCGTAAGCTTAAGCCTAAGCCTAAGCCTAAGCCTTTAATCCCACCCTCCGTTAATGACCATATTCAGGCCTACTCGACGATCATCTCCGAAGGCGAAAACCTCATCGCCATCCTGCAGCGTCACGGCGACCGGAATGATGCAAATTACGCGGTTTCGATCAATGCCGTCAACCGGTTGATGGGGGATATTGGTACTGTCGTCAATTCTACGTTTCTTTATGTCGCTTTTCCCATTTCTAGTCCGGCTCAACCAGCTCTACACGGAACAGTGGCAACACCGGCGCACCTTCTTCCAGGCTAACCTCAAATATGCTAATTTCCTGAGTGACGCCACCGAGATTTTGCATCAAATCCAGGTAATTTTAGGGCTTTTTACTTTATACAAGGGTTTCTTGCAAAGTGCCGAAGTTCATAATTTTGAGAATCATAGTGCCGAAATTCCATAATGCCGAAATTCAGAATTTCGAAATTTACATAAACTATTTTCCCGGAAAACCCTTGAATCGTATGCAAAAAATGCCGACATCCTGAATTTCGAGATTCTGAAATTTCGGAGTTGTGAAATTTCGACATTCTAAATTTAGATGTTATGAAACTTCGGCCTGCTGAAATTCGACATTATGAAATTTCGACATTGTGATTTTCGAAATTATGATAGCAAATCTTAAACCAAACCTTTAGAATTGGGAAGAGGACATGCAAAAGATGGTCGACACGCCCACGTTTATCCAGAACGCCGAAAAGGTCGAACCCTTCCACCGTGAGAACATCGTGCAAGTGCGGAAAGCGGTGAAAAAGCTCTTCGCCGATGCGACGGAGTTGAACCACGCGCTGCAGACGCAGTTGGCCGGCCGAGAATTGCGCACTAAGGAGAACGCGATTGTGTACGACGTCATCACTCAGGTGCAGCAGGGATTGAGAGTTGGAGAGGCGCAGGTGGGTACTTGAGCTTGGGCTTCTCGTTTAGGTTCTCTAGCATTTCCGGGGGCGGGGGGCAACTTTTTTCTTAAAATCTAATTTTTCAAAAAAAATAGTAGAAATGTCTAAAGGTTTTTTACTATTCCTAAACGTCAAAGCTTTATCAAATAGAATCAAAGAAATATCAATACCGATTTTTCGACCGAAAATGTCAGTTTTATTACCGAAATTTTTAAGAAGTCTTAAGATAGTTTTTCTAGATGAAATATAGCTATATACTCATAAAAATACTAGGCTCTTCTAGACTCTTATAAAAAAGTTCGGTTTCCGCCCCCGATAAACTCCTCCCCCGGAAAGGCAAAAGACCCCCTTTGAAGCATAGAACTTAAACTCACTAACTGTCTGAATAAGACTTTTCCTTAAATATGAGCTATCCCAACTCTCCGTTTCAGGTGATGCGAGTGGCGCGTGAGACGGAGCAACGGATAGAAGCCGTCAAGAACTACAATAAATGCCTCGTCATCGCCAACCACATTATTCGTACGTTTCAAAATCTATTTGTGACCCTTGCGGCAAAATTTCGTAACGGCGTCATAATGTCGAAATTTCCCAAAGCCGAATTTTCAGAATATCGATTTTTTCGCATAGGATTCGGGTTTTTTTTTCCGGGAAATTTAGCTGATGCAAATTTCGACATTCTGAATTTAGACATTTTCAAAGAAACCCCACCTTACGGTACCCTCCTCTTCCAGATATCTTCCAAGAAGCGGCACGTCGTCTCGAGCCCGCCCCACTCCCAATCGACTACAACGAGACGCAGAACATGGCGCAGCAAAACGACCAGAAGCGCCAGTGCACCGAGGCCGAGACGAACATGCTGGCCGAGCAGTTTGGCGCCCTATACGAAGGACTACTCCGCACACCCCTCCTCGAGCGGAATATGGTCGTTGGCCTGAACGAGGCGGTCCTCGCCAGTTCGCGCAACTACGGCGCGGCTGTGGAGGAGCGCAGCAAGCTGCTCAAGTCGGCCGCTCAGTACTTCCGCGCCTTTCAACACGGCATCTGGCCGACGCTGGAGGAGCTGAGACAGGACTATACGAAGGCAGAGCATCAGGATCTTTGCCTCGAATTCGCGCGCGAGGCACCGCCCATTCGTGCCGAGCGCATGGCCGCACTTATGACGAAGCACGTCGCGCATAAGGACAAGTTCTTGAAGGTATGGGACGGACGGTTCTTACGCATTAGCGGGGGGGGGGGGGCTAACTTTTTTCTCCGGAATTCTCTTTCTGTTTCAAATATAAATAATGGAGGTGTTTCTAAATAGTTTTTTTACGATTTCTAAACGTGGAAACTTTACAAATGTGTAGTAAAAAAATCAAAGTATCGATTTTTCGAATGAAAATGGCCGGTTTTTGACACAAATTTTGTATTTTTAAAAGTTTTAAGATAGTTTTCCTAGTTTAAATATAGTTTTATATTACTAAAAACACTAGTAAACACTTTCTATTCAGCTAATAGGCATTTCTAGACTTATACAGAAAAGTTCGGTCCCCCGATAATGCCAAAGAACCTGACTGAACAAGCAACGACTCGAAGGCGTTGGGGGTGGATTTTGAGGGGGCAACCGAGGCTAAATAAACTAACCTTTTAGGGCTGCACCTACGCGCACAAGACCGCCGATGTCCTCCTGAAGTACATTGACCGCATGCCGGCACACCGCATCTCCAACGCGGTTGCGAGGCTTCGACAGCAGGAGGCCGAGGTTCGACGTGACAAGGAGGAGCTACAGGTGCGCCAGAGTTTGCTGCTGGAACTGTGGGCGCGGAAGAAGAAGCAGCTCGACAGGTTGGTACCTTGATTCGGTTTTTCTGAAAATGTCGAAATTTCATAAGGTCGAAATTCGGAACGTCGAAATTCAGAATGTCGAAATTTACATAAGCAGTTTACATAAGGTCGGGCGAGTCCCCAAACCCTCTACAAAAAAATGTCGACAGTATGAAATTTCGGCTTTCGAAAAATTCGAGATGCTGAAAACTCGGGATCCGAATTTTCGAGAATTCGTCTCACTTCTAATGTTCTAAATTCTGATACCAAACCATTCTCTTCAGATGCCAGCGCTACGTCCTCATCGACGCCCACCGCGCCGAGCTGGTCGACTGGTTCAACGGCGAGGCCGAGGCGACGCTGAGCAGATTCACCCGTCACGCCCAGGCTCAGCTGTCCGAGCCGGAACGGGCCCAGATCTACAACGAGTTCCGCGGGTGGAAGATGGACGTGAAGACCAAGCGGACCGAGATCCAGACAATGATCAGACTCGGTGATGAGGTGATTGCTGGCGATGAGCACTATCCGCTTCACGTCGACGACGTCAGGAGGTGTCAACAGGAACTGCGACAACGGTCAGTGGATTCAATGAGTTTAAAGGGACTGGGACGTTTTGGAAACGATGGAGGTATGACGTTACCCGTGCTTTAATGGGATCGGCAACTTAGAAAACCTTAAAAACACACATGTCATTTTAGTTTTGATGAATTCTCGAGGCGCGTCACCAGCTGCGAGGCGTCGTTGATCGGCAACGGCAAGATGGGCCCGGTAAGCGGAAGGATTACGGTGGCTAATTCAATGGACTTTCAGAAGGACGAACTGTCGCTTGATCGACTGTCCGATTCGAACGTCGAGAACAAACTGCCCCCCCGAGCCGTTGATGATAAGATCAGGTGGGTAGGGTCAGTGTTATCCTACTATATATAAAAAAATAGTGTCTGTGTGTGTGTGTGTGTGCCACTTTGCATGCAACTTCCGTCAGGTTGTTCCAATCGTATCTCAAGAAGAAGAGTAGTTAGGGGCATGTTTGATACGTCAGAGGTGCGTAATTGTCTGGAGATGACTGCACGTATGCCAGATCTATCAAAAACGCTTATTTTCGACATTAAATTTAAGTTTTTGTTGAAAAATCCGGGACCCTCTTTGTTAGGAATCAATTAGCATACACCGGAAGTGGAAGTAGCCTATATAAAGGAACAGAGAGCGCCTTTTTCACTTTTTTTCAGCGTGTATCGCGCCGAATTATGCAAAGTACAAACTTTCATTGGTCCGAAACGGGGGCCAGGGTTGAAAAGTCGCGAAGCGGCTTTTCAACCCTGGTTGAATGTAAATTATAAACACATTTCTCTCTCCTGAAATATCTCTCTCTCGCTCTCTCTTTCGTTGTTTTTCTCGATTGCTATCTTTGTTTTTAGTTTTGTATTCTCTCTCTCTCTCTCTCTCTCTCTCTCTCTCTCTCTCTCTCTCTTCCTCTCTTCTCTTCGCCATTGCATGCTTATCACCCACAAAAACGCTCAGCAAACAGAGCACCCCCGGGGGGTGCTCACGGGGGGAAGAAGCCCGGCCCCTTTAGTTCTGACCCCATCTGTCCCACAATCCGGGCGTCACCCACTGTTTTGTGTTGCCATTTTTGACACTGCCCAATTTCCCCCTACCTAACAATGGGCCCGAGGCCAAAGCAGCGGCTCCTCATTTTCCGGCCTGGCCTCTTTGTGCCGCTCGCCACCATCGAGGATATCGTCCCGTAAGCCGCGTTTTTTGGCCGGAAAGCTTAGGGGTATTGCTGGTCCCTTTATAATTTTGAAATTATCGCGGCATTCGGGAAAAATGCATGAGAGAGATAGAGAGAGATAGCAAGAGAGAGAGAGAGAGGGAGGGAGAGAGAGAAAGAGTGGGGCCGCTTACCAAGACCAGGTTAATTACTATATCTTCTTTCAGGGAACCGATGCGCGAGTTGATCCAGACGGAGCGCGACTACGTGGAGGCGTTGCAGCGATGTTGCCAGGTGAGCGCAAGCCAAATAATTCGAAAGTCGACGTTTGTAGGTGTACATCGCCGAGTACGACAGTGCCTCTGCGTCGCTGACCTTGCCCGAGGCGCTGAAGGACCAGCGCCACAACATTTTCGCCAACATCGAGATGATCAGCGCATTCCATGCCGAGTGAGTGGCACTTTTTTGGGATTTTAAAGGGGCTCCGAAATCTGGTCCGCGCCCCCCAGCGTTAATTTCTGGCAAATAGCCAAATGCGACCGCAACGCGCCTGCGCTGCATGATCTTTTGCCGTTTGAACGCTTGAATTTAAAGATTCTGAACCTATTTCTGTAATCCTCATCGAATTTTGATACTTCTCGACTGTCGTTTTCGCCCCAAGAACATTTGGTCCATGAGGGGTTATAGTAGGTCATCAACATCGCTTACCACATAGCACAGAACCCCGTAGACTTTCCACGCGAATCCTCATGTTTTTCGCACATTCCACGTGGGTCCGTCTGGATCTCTCTCTCTCTCTCGATTTGTGTGCGTGTGTTTCTCTAGTATATTTGTGTACCCACCGCCAGTTTGACGCCCTTCTCCCCCCGGTGTCTACAGGAGCGCTTTGGAGTGGGCCGCAAGCGAGGGCCCAAGAATACTCGTTTCGGGGTATTTTTAGAAGCGTTACCTGGTCAGAGGATTGTCAGCCCGTTTTTTTAGCTGATCACAGACGGAACAGAAAAAAGGAACTATTTTCGTTTTTTTCGAGAGGTTAGAATGTCAAAATTCTTTTTGTCGAAAATCACCTTGTATAAATCTCCAAATCTGGGTTTTTGTATGCAATACGTTTTTTTCAGAAAGTTCCTGCAAGACATCGTCAAGTACGAGGATGACCCCGAGCAGGTCGGCTCGTGCTTCATCGTCTACGTGAACACGATTGCCGAGTACTACACGGAGTACTGCCTCAACAAGCACCTCCACAATCACCTGCTCGACCTGCCCGAGGTCAAGCAATTCTTCAAGGTATGCAAATTACTGTAAGGAACTTTTAGTTTTCTTTTTAGACAGCACAAGACCGTTACCGTCTGGATATCAAGGATGATCTTGGCTCGCTTCTGATAAAACCAGTGCAAAGGTGAGAGCGAGAGAGAGAGAGATAGAGAGAGACCGAGAAAGTGAGGAGAGAGCGGTAGAAGGCGAGACAGAGATTATGAGAGGGGGTAGAGAACACGAGCGAGAGAGGCAGAGAGAGGGAGAGAGGCAGAGAGATAGAGCGAGATAGAGAAACAGACATAACCTCATTCCTTCCAGGATCACACGCTACCACTTAGTGTTGGATCAGTTGATCAAGCACTACAAAGGGAGTGCTGAAGATTTTAAGGTAAGCCTCAGTTTCAGTTCAAGAACGCGATATTCCGCAAAATCACCTTCAAACGACCCTTTCCAGGAGGCAGATGAGATTGTCGTTGGCGTCACCCGTCGCGCAAACGACCTGATGAACCTGAGCTGCTTGGAGAAGAAGGAAATCGTAAGCCACTAATTTGCATTTTTCAACTGAGAAATCGACCTCAGCTGGACCACGTGGGACCGTTCGTCATGCAGGACGCGCTGACCGTCTGGGAGTCGGGCACGAAATACTTCAAGGGGAAGGGCAAGGAGCGCCAGGTGAGGGGTTGTGTTGGAAATTGGAGCGGTCTTCTGATTTCGGAGGCGAATTTTCACCACGTTGATGAATTTCCAGGTGTTCCTCTTCGAGCTTGCCTTCATTTTCGCGAAGAAAATCGAAAAAGCGGAGTCTCGCGATGGGAAGCTGCGCTTTTTCATCAAAGGAAAGCCGATCCCGGTGAGTAGCGCTCTTTCATTCTCTCTCTCTCTCTCTCTCTCTCTCTCACATTGACAAACAACCTTTTACAGCTGAACGAAGTGACGGTAGTAGAGCATGTAGACGTCGACCCGAATCGCTTTGCCCTGCGTATCGGCTCCGCTCACAGTAACGACAACCGCATCGACTTCAGGTGGGTGGGGCTCAGAAGCAAATGGTTTAGCGTAGCTCAGGCTCAGGCTTGGGCTTAGGCAAGTTTAGACTCCGGCTTAGGCGCAGGATTGCCCGCTGCGCTCTGTCGATTCCACCCATTCAAACATTTTCAGGGCCGCTAATGCAGACATAAAGAACACCTGGGTGAGAAGAATTCGAGAGCTCCGGCAAGGTCTTTACAATCCATGTAAGTGCAGTACCAAAAATGCTTGAAACTTGCTAATTGCAGTGTTCGCCGGCGACGGTTTCTCGACACCACGCAGCACTATGAGCGTCTCATCGAGAGCCTCAGGTAATTTACTCTATAGTCAGCAGTTGCTTAATTTAATTTCTGGAATTTGGGCGAGCAAATTATGCGACTTAAATACGAACCATTCCGCGTCAAGCCTCAATTGTTTAGGTGAATACCGTAACAGTCGTGACGCCGAAAGCCTCGGTTCGGCTGGGGATCCATCTCTCGAGCCAACAACAAGTGAACAGGTCAGTTGCATAGAATCTAGGCTGCATTGCCCTTTCCTAAAGAATCTCTGCTCGCTTGCCTTTGCCTCAATAATCTCAGCTAGCCCTGCTCTTCACAAAGAATTTACCGCTATGCCTTCCGTTATTTCGCATTACCGGGGGGGGTCAAATTCTTTCTTTAGGATCTACTTTTTCAACTACAAATAGTGGAAGTGTTTCTAAGGGGTTTTTACTATTATTAAACGTAAAAACTTTACAAATTTGTATTAACAATACAAAAATATCGATTTTTCGACCGAAAATACGCGATTTTTGGCCAAAACTTCTAGTTTTTCTGGTCAAAATCTAGTCATTCTTGCTAAAAACCGTACTAAAACACTGCCTATTAAGTTACTAGGCATTTCTAGACTTTTACAAAAAAGTTCGCCCCCCCTGATATTGCCAAAGAACCCGGGCTTCCCATACATTTGGTAAAAATTATGGAGTGTGATGTTTTCCAGGATTCCGAGAGTGTCGGCTCTGGAGAGAAGCGGTTCAGCGTGCAGAGCACCAGCAGCATCGAGGTACGAAATGCACAAAAATTGAATTTCGCGGACCAAATCTCGAATTGGGTATTTCCGAAAAACCCAAAATAACCGCTGCTTTGCAAATTCCCATTGTTTCAGGAAAAGAACGCTGAAGACGCCCGGCATTCACGGATTCAACTCCGGCAGCTAGCCACAATCGCGACGACCGAGACTCGCCAAGAAATGCCGAAACTCAACGGTCTCCGGATAACCGACGCTTCCAATGGTCGCCCCGGCGGAAAATCCTAGCTTAATATGCGAATTTTGAAGCCGAAAAACCGACATTTTTGTGTTGCCGGCTGCTCTGAAACAGCGATGCCGACCCAACTCTAATCAAATCAATACGGTTCCTTTTGCCAAATACTATGCAAAAAACTTGCTCTTTGCTTCGCTGTGTGCTAAATTATGGGGGTAAAGGCTCAGGATTAGGCTTAGGCTTCGGCTTAGGTTTTAGGCTTAGGCTTAAGCTTATGCTTAGGATGCCATTACTAACACAATATCGATTTTAGTCTAGAAAATTCACCCATTTACCTACCATTAAACAATCGTATCCCTTGACTTTCCCAGGCCTTCCCCCTTATCCTACGCTTTCCGCCGCTTGCTTCACTTCCCACCCGCCCGCCTTACTGTAATTAATTTATTTGCCCTTCTATGTCTTTTTGGTTGCGACATTCTTAATTCATATGTGTATATATGATATATACTATAATTTGATCATATTATTGGCTTCTATTTTTTGTACATTTTTTGAATCTCGCCCCCTTTCGATCCCAGTGATGCCCTCCCCTTTAATAGATCCCCTCACCAAAATCAATGAGATGATATTCACAATCGGACAGCGACAAATGGGTGCTCCTTATTGACTTATTGACGCAATAAATTATTGTTCTCATTACGCTTGAGATTGATGCAAAAACACCAACCAGGCCTAATCGACGAGGGCTGCCTAGTTGCAACATTCAAAAAATCCTAGCAATTAAACCAGGGCCTCCGGGGCTTCGGAAGAAACTGTGTTCGGTACTATTTTTGGTGCTCTTTCAGCTCCACTTCGAAGTGCGTGATGAATTTCTCGAAATTTTTTTGGTAAATTCCGAAAAAATCCATGTGGTCCCCCCTTTAGTCGTAAACCATCAAAAATAAAAGTTTCAAAAAATCCTGGCAATTCAATCGGGGCCTCCGGGGTTTCGGAAGAAACGGTTTTCGGTAGCAAAAAATACGCTCACAGATATATCTGGTTGATCTAGGGGGGGGGGGGGCGGGGGTCGATATGATTGCGAAATTCGTCGTAAAAAAGGTCGCATTCAAGGCCGGGTCTCAGCAGATCGCAGCTCAGGTAGATGCTAGAGCTACTCTACGTACGGGAGGGAAGGTTGAGGGAGGAGCATCAGCAACAACGATACCTCCTGGGGACCACCACTCTATTCTGATTTGCTATCATCCCATCGAATTACATCTGATCGAATTGCATCCCATCGAAATTACGACTCATCGAAATTACGACTCATCGAAATTACGACTCATCGAAATTACGACTCATCGAAATTACGACTCATCGAAATTACGACTCATCGAAATTACGACTCATCGAAATTACGACTCATCGAAATGTCAGCTAAGCGAATTTTCAAAAAATACTAATTTTTGCTCGGTCCAATTTTAGTCATTCTTGGCCGAAAAAAAATCCGTTTCTCGACCTAAAATTAAATTTTTAATAAAAATCTGTATAGTTTTTATGCTTAGAAATAGTTAAAAACCATTTAGAAACGCATCCGCTATTCATAAAAAAAATTTAGGCTTGGACCGAAAAAATTTGGTTGACAAAAACCGATATTTCGAGGAGTTGTAATTTCGATGAGTCGTAATTTCGGTGAGTCGTAATTCGATGAGCCGTAATTTCGATGGGATGTAATTCGATGGGATGCAATTCGGGCAGATGTGATTCGATGGGTTAAAAAAATGCCCCCTATTCTAACTAAGGCCGCCGGCGCCGTTGCGGAAATCTCTCGGTGTAGTGCTTAGGCTAGGGCTGCAATGGACGGCTAACTTCGTAGCCCGATCCAACAAAAATCAACAACCAAGTATCTAGCGGTGCAACGCGCCGAGAAAAAAATGCCCCAACAAATCCGGCTGGCCCAAAAAAGCATACCAGTCCGGGGGCTCGTCCTAAGCCTAAGCCTAAGCCTAAGCCTAAGCCTAAGCCTAAGCTGAGGGTCAATCGTTGGCCTACTCAGTGGAAAGCTTTGGGAACCCCCTCCACACTAGTGGGCCAGGTGGGGGCGGGTGCGAAGCAAGCAGTGAAGCCCGCCCTGCGATTCCGCTACGAAATAGCGTCCGGAATGCGGAAACGCCCGATTTGGCTGAATTGAGGATTAGGGGTGTTCGAGCTGCTGTTGCGCCAAGGAGCGATGTGACGGCCGAGCCAGTTAGCAACCCGGAATCAGCGTTTCAAAGCGCTTCGAATGGTCTGCTTACATTGATCGGAAGCGCGCGGCCCGTTTTTGAAAAAATCCATGTGGTCCCCCCCTTTAGTCGTAAACCATCAAAACCAAAAGTTTCAAAAAATCGTAGCAATTAAACCAGGGCCTCGGGGGCTTCGGAAGAAACGGTTTTCGGTACTATTTTTGGTGCTCTTTCAGGTGCACACATCAAAGCGATTTCGCACGGTCGATTTCTTGCGGAATCGGGCTTGGAAGGCCTGGTCGACGAGGACTGCCTAGTTGCAACATTCAAAAAATCCTAGCAATTAAACCAGGGCCTCCGGGGTCTCGGAAGATACCGTTTTCGGTAGCAAAAAATACGCGCACGGATATATCTGGTTGATCTAGGGGGGTCGATATGATTGCGAAGTTCGCCCTTCTATCTGTCTGTCTGCCTGTCAACAGTTTGTCGGTTTTCCTCCCCGCCGTCTGTCACTCTCGATCAATGCCCGTTCAATTGAATAGGGTCGGCGGGTCCCCCGAGAGTTGTGGGTCCCCGGCTCAAACTCCCCGGTGTGGCCACATGGCCCACCACACACCCGCCTTTCCACACAAGCACAAAAAATTCCTGAAGATCCCCCCGGGGCGATCAGTCGCCCCGCTTGGGACAGGGGCCCGTCGACACGCCGTTTTACAGCCTTCCCCTTTTTGTCGACGGTTTTCTCTCTCTCTCTCTCTCTCTCTCTCTCTCTGCTCTCTCTCTCTCTCTCTTTCTTTCTCTCTCTCGTCCTCGAGCCCTTACTATTCGTTTCTAAACGCCCTAGAGCCGCCCGATGCCACTCATTTTCTCATACTCATGTTATGCCCTGATTTGTTTTGAGTGCCGATTGGGCTGGCAACCCTTATGCGCTAGAAGCCGGGTTTAAATTTGGGTCTGATCACCTACTCAAGTGCAATAGGTTGAGCAGCAGCTCAACCGCTACTACTGTTCATCATTATCTCTCCCGCGCTCTCTGACCCTCTCTCTCTCTCTCCCCCTCTCTCACTTTCTTCCTCCCTCTCACTTTCTTCCTCCCTCTCTCTCTGTAATTTCCAAGCCTGTTTTTCCTTGTAGTCGGCTGACCCCTCCTTATCTTTTCCCGTCCACGAGCTCAAAAAAGCGCAGACTCGTTAAATTTTTCCGCATTTAGCGAGAATAGCAGCAGCTGAGCTTCGACACGCCCTGGATTGATTGTTTACGATTTACGCCGGGATGCCGTCGCTATTAAAGCGAATCTGCTCCTGCGTTCAGCCGGTGGGTTCATTTCCATAAGCATACGTGTACGGTACGGGCCCGCACCAAAGCCTATGCCCAAGCCTAAGCCTAAGCCTAAGCCTAAAAGCCTAAACCCTCGCGGTCCGTAATTTGGCACATCTTGTAAGCCCTGTGCGCGGTGAGGAAGCAGAAGACAAAAGGCGGCGTGGGACACGCGGTGGGCCCCCAAAAAAAAGAGGGGCGGGCCCGGGACCCGGTCGCGTCGGAATGGATCGCGCGGGGGGTGGCGAGGGCTCATGGCCCAGGGCCACCACAAGTTGCCCTACCCCGCCCTTCCCCCAACTGTAGTACTTTTCTCCCCGCAGCTGCTCGGTGAGGGCAACATGTCCAGCATGCTGCACTATTCCAAGTCGTTCAAAACTATCGGCAAGCGGACGGGGGATCTCTACACCAGGGCGCGCTCAAAGTTTGCGCGCTCCTTTCGCGGCAATCGACATTCGGATCCGCTGGTAAGGGGGAATTCAAGATTTTTAGGTTCTATCGCATTTCCGGGGGACCTAGCTTTTTTGTTGAAGTCTAGAAAAGGCATAGTAACTTGATAGAACGTGTTTTAGTAGCGTTTTGTTTTGGAAAATATAACTATATTTAAAGTAGAAAAACTATCCAAAAACTTCTAAAAAAGTCGAAATTTTGTTCAAAAAACGGGCATCTTGCTCAAAAAATCCATATTTTTTTGATGGATTTTAATGCAAATTTGTAAAGTTTTTACATTTAGGGATTTTCGAAAACATTGGTATCGATGGGTGATTCCTCTGAAGTCTCTGAAGGTTGCTTCACCTTATGGAAATTTCGGGATCCTGAAAATTCCAATTTTTGGAAAAATCAAGATTCCGAAAGTAGATATTCTAATTTTCGAGATGTTTGTCGACGTCGCCGTTCAAGATTTCCCAGCCTTAAAATCGACTCTGCAAGTTACCCGAAGAATTTATCGACCTCTGATTGCTTCCCGAAAGGCTTTCCACAATTCGCTGTCTATAATTTCACCCTAGCGTGCCGACGTTTCGGAGAAGTTGCCCGGGAGCCGGAGGCCCGGCCATAATTTCCGCCAATTTCCCATCCCTCAATATCCTTTCTCAGTTTTCGTTGATACTGTAGAACCATAACCAAAGTAGTTTTCGTCTCTTTGGCTCCGTTTCAAAAAAACAGGGGATCAACTCCGGCTGCACTCAATTTTTGGGATCTCAATCGTTTCCACTTTTTTCGAACCCATTTCCGCACACAGCTGGGTCCCGGGGACGGTCAACAAAATGTCAACAGACTTTTAACCGGGGCCCGACGCTTCAAGAAGGTCCTTTCAATCCGACCCCACCGACACCTTGGCATCTAGGCCCGGCCGGATGTTTGGCAATCAAGCGGAAAAATTGCGGGATCGATTATGCGGGAGGGGCTTTAGGCTTTAAGATTGGAAACTAAAATGCAGGCGGGCTTAACAAGCTGAAGCTTAAGCCTAAGCCTATCGATATGGCCGATTGCATGGTCGACCTCTTTTAGCCTAAGCCTAAGCCTAAGCCTAA